ATTAATTTCATGTTTTGAAGGTTTCATCAAACTGATGTTCTGTTCGTCAAGTAGGATTTAATTGGAAGAAATTCCATGCTCGGCCGTTTTTTCTGGGCATTTGAAAAATTGTGCAGTTCTTCTGTGCCACGCAGTCTTCAAAAAGGAAATGCGGCATGGCAAAGAAGACCTGCACAATAAATTCAAAGATTTCATGCTTTAAAAAGACTAGAAAGCATTTGCCGTTGTTCTTGGGATGCGGCACGCATTCTACTTCCATTTGTACATTCCTAGTATGCGATTTGCGGGGGCCAGCCGATGTACAAGTCAGTGTTTTTATCCTCCCAGACAAGTCTGGTACCAATTAACCGACCCCGGAGGGATGGAAGGCTTGGTTGGCCCGGGCGACTCACGACCCAGGATTTGATCCCCGGACCGCTCGCGTGGTGAGCGCGCCACTTGCCACTACACCACTTCCGCCCTTTTGTGCTTCGACTGTTAAAAAGATCATTATAGGGATTAATATGATAAGGACTGTTATAAAAATTGATCGGTAAATGTATCGAATAACAGTGAAATGTGATAAGTTTAACAACTGTGAAGTTGAAGTTCCAAGACGCACCGTTGAAGAAGAGTCGTTGAGATCTTCTGGTAAGTCGAGACTGATGGCTAACGATGTTGGCGTTGCTTCCTCGTCGTTTACAGCAATAGTTGAGATGTGCGCTTTTGTACTCTGAAAGGTCATACGAGTGAAATGATCGCAGCATCCTGATTAGTCATAATAAATCACAAAGTATAATAAATCAAAATAATTTAGAGAGAAAATAATGGCTATCACCCTTGCAGTCAATGAGATAAAATCCGGTCTAGGTCCAGCAGTAGGGTCAGTTCCGTCGTAATCTCAATCCCACAATCTGGATTGCTTGGACGGGGAAAGAGGTAAAGAGGGGAGGGAGGGTCCAGAGAAGGTTAGGACAACGACTGCCGCTACAACACGTGTGCTTTAAGGACTATATCGCTGATCTGACCTTACCCAGATCACTAAACCCCTTCTCCCTGACCAGCCAATTGATGATAAAGCTCACCCCACTTAGAAAAAGTTAATACCTATTCTGAAAACTACGACATGGGCGGAATTATTACACATCCGCGCTGTCATTCCACCTGCTCGCCCCCCCCCCGCCCTCGTCCGTTTCGTTTCGTTCCAAATGGAGCCCGCTAGGTAACGTGCTCACCTTGCCCTGCTGGGTTGTTGGAGCGTTTCTTGAGATTCTTGGGTTGTCCGCTTACTGTTGTCCATGAGCAGTGGAGATGCACTGCGTGATCGTTTCCCCTCCGCATCTCGATCGGACGAATTCGAAACCGATCTTGAAAAACGAGGACACTCACTGGGCGCTGAAATAGACTTGAGTATACTGTCGAAGCAATTCATTATTTCTAGTTACGGTAGAATATTCATACTTGAAGGCTCGGCTGTGAGAGTCAGATGTAGGTCGACACTGCTTTTGCTGCTGGACAACGGGTAGCTGGCCACGCTCAATTTGTGGAGTGGCGCCATCCGAGAGGGAGAGTCGCTCAGGTCCGGATTTCGATCGAGCTGTTCAGTTGACGATAAAGTGGTGGCTCGATGCATGTCTGAAAAATACGTGTATGCACTAGTGTAGTTCA